GCGGGGGCGGGGCGGGGGCGGGGCCTGTCGGTGGGATAGGCGTGTGGGGGAGCCCAGGACCAGAAGCCTGGGAGTCCTGCAGGTCTGATGTAGCTATCCAGGGGTAGGAAGTACAACAGGACCGGAGTGGGACAGTGGGTGGGGCTTTATTCTGCAGAGCAGAATTTGGGGAGAAGGTCTTCAAAGCCCGACCTAGGTGGGGTCTGGTTAGGTGGGGTCTGGTCCATATTGAACGGAGCTAAGGATGGAGAGGGCTTCCTGTCCACCCCCCCATTCACACCCCACATTGCCTGCAGGTGACGAGGGAGGGGATCTGGAGACAGAAATCCCTGTGCCTCTGTGTCCTGAAGTGGTAAGAAGGACGCACAGGTACCTGTGCATACGGGGAGCGTGTCTCAGCCGGGTACTCGGGTTCCCTCATTCTTCCGTGAGTTAAATGTGCACCTTCCATGCACAGGTGTGGGTTTCTCCTGGGCTGGAGAAAGCGACTCTAGCCATTCTTTTCTGGGGGCCCAGGGGAATCGAACTCAGAACCTCATGCTTGCCCGACAGGTGCTGTACCCCTGAGCTAAATCCTCAGCCCAAGTCATTCTTTCACCTTCTTTCCTTCTTCTTTGAGGAATGCTGAGAACCCAGGGTCTTTTCACTGAGTTATAGCCCCAGCCCTTTATTTGATACAGTCTTGCTATGTAGCCCAGGCTGAGCTGGAACTCACAGTGCCTGCCTCAGTCTCCTGAGTACTGGGATTACAGGCAAGCGCATCATGCCGGGCCCTTTATTTTTTGAGACAAGGTCTTCATAAGGTGCCCAGGCTGGTATGGAACATGCAATCCCTCTGCCTCAGTCTCCCAGAGTACTGGGATGACAGGTGTGCACCGCCATGGCCAAGCTGGAAAAAAACCGCCCATGGGGCTCCCTGGGGGATTAGAGGTCTTCTCTATATGTGAATCTGGGCGAGCCAGGGCTGCAAGGTGTGCAGGTGATGAGGCCACTAGAGACACAGTCCCCCTGAGCGGCTCCAAGTGACTTCAGGCCCATTTTCACTACTCTGAGCCAGAGGCCCTCTCTGCAGTGAGGAAGTCAGGAAGGCAGTGGGCTCTGGAGGTGCCCAAGCCCCTCTCAGTTCGGCGCCAGGGTCCCTTCCTCTGATCAGGCCCATGCAACAGAGCAGGGTGCCTGTGTCCAACTCTGTCCCCAGATTCCCCCCCCCCCCGTCACCTGCAGGCAGATGTGGGGGGTGAGTGCGGGGGTGGTAAGGAAACCACAGAACCCTGCTCCCTCTGAGCACCGACTGAGGCTCTCAGCGAGCACTAACTCATCCTGGAACTGCCTGGGCTGCAGGGCTTCTCCACCCCTGCGGGTGCAGGCAAGAAAACTTTTTTTCCACTCATCCATTCAGCGAACATTTATCCAGTGCCTACCCAGCCCGGTGGGGGTTTATTTGGTCAAAATGCTCTGACATCCTGTAGCAATGGGGTAGACATGTGGGAACAGTTTCCTCCTCCCCACCTTCAACAAGGTGCCATCACAGTGTGGATGCAGCCTTCCCAAGCAGAGGACAGGCTGTGCAAAGGTCCTGAGGCCCCCAGTGCAGACAGACCAGTATAGCAATACAGTTCCTTGAGACTTGGGGGAGCTGGTCGGCGGCTACCCCAAGCTGGAGACAGATGCCACAGAAACAAAGCATTGGCACCATATATTTAGTAAATGCCTCATGTGGGGGAGTGTCAGTCAACTTGGTCACAAGAGCAGCCCGAGGGCAGAGATGGGCTGATTAACCAAGGACCAGGCCATGTGACAGCCCCTCCACCCTGAGTTCCCAGAGACTTGGAGATTCTAGATCCGGAAAGGATTGGTTTTTTTTTTCTCTGCAGCCTGGGGAGGAGCCTCTGGGGCCTAAACACTGCTGAGGGGAGGGGCAGACTTCCCCCCAGTACCTGTGTGCTCCAGTGTCCCAACCCAGACCCCTGCCTTGGCTTTTGTGGCTGCGGGTCCTCTTCATCCACTGGTCGCTATGTACCCCAGCTGACCTCAAACTCATGGTGACTTTTTACACAAGTAAAATTGGGGGCCCAATTGCCACTCAGAGGCCACAACAATTCACAAGTGGGAGGAGGTTCTGCCCCAGTCCTGTGGAACAGTATGTGCACTGCAGAAGTCAGCGTTTTGCTGGACTGGGCCCTTCCATCAGATACAGCAGGCAGCCACTCTCTGCCATCGCACATCTGTAGCCTGACCCTGTGGTGGGCAAGGCAGGGGACCTGACTCCGCCCTCATGCCTGTGAGCTCTAGACCCAAGCCACCTTGTACACAGGCTGCTTCAGGACATGGCCCCCACCACAGCTCCTTTTGTGAGCTGAGCCAACTGCCTCCTGCTCTCCTGGCCTTGGCCACAGGAATGGTGACAGTGGCCCTATGGGCCGTGTGCAGAGGGCTCACTGGGGCATCACCGACAACACCACCACAAGCAGCGAATCTAAAATTCATACAAACATTTATTCCGTCCCTGCCAGGGGCCATGGGGGGGGGCACAGAGAGCCCGGGAGGGGGGCTCCCGTGGGAAGACAGTGTCCCCAGGCCATCAGGCCCCGGTGCGTCTGGAAGGCGAGGCCCCGGGCCAGACTGGCTTGCTTCTTGGAGGTCACGGAAGGAAGTCAGTGGGCTGGGAGGAGACTGGGGTGAGGCCGTCACCCCAAGGCAGGCTGCCAGAAGGCAGAGACACTGCACCCCACTTGGGTCTGGCTCACGGCCGCGCCCATCCCCAAGGAGGAAAGCAGCACCAGGGCCTTGCTCCTGGGGGGGGACGAAACTGCGCAAGTCAACAGGTTTAAATTAAAAAATAATAAAAATAATACAAAAAAAAAGGGACAGCCCATTGCCCACGACACCACCCTGCCCCGCACTGGGAACGGGAGCAGAGGGGAGGGGTGGGGCTTTCCAGGCCTGCCTCAGCGTCCGTCCTGCCTGTCCACCTGTTGCTCGTTTCGGTGTGGCGGCCAGGCGCACAGCGTTAGCTCTCAGATTTATTGCACTGTTTTGGAAGAGGCCTGGGGCTGGAGGGGGCGGCGCAGGGGGCGGGTGGCACGGGGCGGGTGAGGCGGCGTCATCGCTTGGTCTTGGCATCCTCCCGAATCTTCCAGATCACCAGGTGCATGCAGGCGCTGGCATCCTCGCTGGAGCTGTGCCCATCCACTGCAGGACAGAATCGGTCACCCTAGGCCCAGCCGAGCAAGACTGGGTGGGTGCAGACCCCCATGGCCCCACTCACCGTTGTCCTGGATGATCTGTCTGAGGTAGTCGGCCATGAGGTTCCGGAGGGAGCGCTTGTAGGGGAGGCCCAGGCGGTGGGGGAACAGCACGGCCGTGTCTACCACGGTGCTGTGGATGACCTTGAGGGCCAGCAGGTCGCTCTCCAGGCTATGCCCGATGAGGATGGTGTCAGCACTGAACATGCTCAGCAGGACGGCCTGCACATCCCGCAGCGTGATGCTCGTGTCTGCGAGGTCGGCCTCTGTCACCCCGGAGAACCTGGCGGAGGGAAGGCGGGCTGAGCTGGACTGGCAGGGCCGAGCAGGTGGCAGGTGGCCAGGCATGCACTGTGGAGAGGGCGCACCTGGTGTTGTAGTCCACAATCTCATTCTCAGGCTTGACGAACGTGTCATACACCACCTGCATGTCCGTGTCCACCACTGTGACGCGGGTCAGCTCCAAGCCGTATGTGGTGTAAGACTGTGGGCCGAGGGAGGGGTTCAGACACGGACTGGTCCCCAGAAGCCCGCCCACCCTCCAGGGCACCGCAGGCCTGCACTGCCGGACCCAGAGACCCCACAAAGCCCCTGCTGCTCCCCAGGGCCCTGTGGCACTGAGGCAGGGCTCGTAGTTGCGGATCGGGAAGCCAAGGCCAGGGACTTCGTGGGGCTGGAGCGAGCTGTGAGGAGAGGAGCCCTGGGGACGTGGGGGAAATGGCTGTGGCCAAAGTCTGTGTGTTTGTCCAGAAGCCCCTTGGGGGCAAATGTGAGACACCGGAAACCACACCTCACACACATGCAAGGGTCAGCACCAGCCCCTGGCTCCCATCCAGCCCCATGGAGCACGGACCCCAGGACCTCACCATCTCACAGTCGAGGGCGTAGATCCCTGCGTGGGCGTCCCCTGCAAGCTCCTTCTCAAAGGTCCTCACAAAACCCTCGAGATTCTCCTTCCGGCCATCCTGCACGTGTTGCTGGGGGGTGAGGGGACCTCAGGGACAGGGCCAGCATGCCAGGCGTGGCACTGTGGGCCAGGCCAAGGTCCCAGTTCCCCCTCCCGCCCGTTCAAGGACAGGAATACAGGGGCAATGGGCCCTGAAGATCCACCAGACAAGGGCTGGGCTGAGATGGGGACCAGGAGCTCATCCAGCAGACACCACCTGGGGCGCCTGCCGCCCAGGACAGGGCTCTCACAGGCCCTGAGACTATGAGCAGCTGACAGCTCCACGACATGCCCAACCTCAGACCAGTACAGGGGACTGGGAAGTCAGGATGGGGAGGACGCGGGCAGAGCTCACCTTCGCCACCTGACAGCCGACGGAGCCCACGGCGGCTGAGCAGCACATGTACTGGGTCTCCCAGCCCCCGGCCACTGCGGGAGAATGGCAGTCAGGGATCCCACCGGCCAGCTTAGCACCCTCCAGTGGTCCCTGGCCCCAAGCCTGCTGAGGGTGGGGGCCCTGCAAAGTCGGGGGACACCAACCGCCTTCCCTGGAGTGGGGCCCATATGCACCCTTTGTCCCCACGGGGCCAACAGCCCCTGGGTTTCTTCGATTCTTTCACCCAGAGACAGCAAGGGTTGGGTAGGGAATGTGGGAGGTGCCAGGGACCTTGGAATTGTGAACACTGTTACAGAAAAATATGACTTTATAGTAAAAAAAGAAAATAGCCAGGGATCAGAGAGTGGGCCAGGGAGGCGAGGAGCAGGGCCACAGTCTGCCCAGCACATGGGTGTCTGCCAGCCTCACCTCGGTTCCGGCGGAGCCGCCCCCAGTGGTAGTAACACTCCTCGTCTCGGATACAGCGCCCGGAGGAGGACACGAGGTACTCAGAGCCACAGCGGCAGCAGATTCTGCAGGAGGCTATGGGTGGACGTGGTGGAGGGTGGGTGAAGGCTCGGCCAGACCAGCAGCTACGGTGGCCCTTGGGGCCCACCCAACCCATCTACACCCAGCCCCCCAGAAAACCCCCCAAGGTGACTCACAGTCCTTGGGCTTCTTCTCCTCAGCTGTGAAGATAACGGCGCCCCCTGGCCGCTCAGGGTGGGGGAAGGGGTAGCCATTCTCCTTGAGCTGCTCCTGGGTAAGCAGGTAGTCCCTGAGGCGGCTGTACAGGGTGGCCCCTGCGGACACTGGGTGTCAGCCTCTGCTTGGCCCAGCTGGGAGGGGGTCAGGCAACCAGGGAGAGGGGTCCTGAGGGCTGGAGGGCCGGCGGGGGGGGGGTCCCAAGGGCACAGAAAGTCTCTGGAACGTACACACCTTTCAGGTCTTCCACACGGGGGCTGCTGGGCCGGCTGAGTGAGAAGCTGGTCTTGGCGGCCAACCTGCCCCCGAGCACTACCTCATGGGACACGACCCTGCGGCCACTGGGTTCTGAGAAAGGCGGAAGAGGGTCAGACCCTGTCTCAGACCTGCTGGGCCCCATGCTCTTGCCCAGCCCAGCCCCCTCAGTACCCTCTTCTGAGACAGCTCATCAGAACCAGGAGGTGAGGCCCGGCCAGGGCGGGTGCAGGGCCTGTGAGCCCCATGTCCCCCAGGCAAGGATTTCCCTCTCAGAAGAAGGTGGGGTCAGGGGAGGCTGGGACTAATGAACAGGTATCTAATGGCTTTCAAGTGCTCTGCACAGTAAGGGCCACCCAACCTGCAAAGGCTTCCTGGAGCCCAAGGAGCGCAGGCTGAGAAACTAACGGAGGAGGGGTCCTGACCTTGGGGGAGGCGAGACTGGGCGCACTGCATGACTGCTTAATGCACCCTCTCGAGACGTGGTAATGAAACGTCTTAACCTGAGTTTCTTTCTCCCCAGAGCTTAATGCACAGCCCACAGCCCGGGCGCCAGGGCCTCCCGCTTTGAAGAGGCCGTGAGCGACTCCATTATCAGGCGGCCCTTGGCTGGCTCAGAGGAGGGTAGTTAATAGCAAGAGGAGACATCCCCCCACCTGGCAAGCACTGCGCATCGCCTTTTGTATGGCGTCCCTCCAGGTGGGGGCCCCACTCCCTCATGAGCCAGCTCCCCGGCTCCAAGCCCCCCCAGTGTGGGCACTCACTGCTGAGGCTGGGCATGGTGCTGGGGACCAGACCCCTCAGCTTCTTGAGGGTGTTGACGGCGACGTTCAGGTAGATGTTCTTGCTGGGGCTGCGGTCGTATGCCACCTTCTCCTCATTCAGCGCCTGGGGGGCAGACGGCACTCAGCCCTGAGGCCTCCACGGCCGCCACCCAGATGCGGGGCAGAAGAGTGGCTGCCCATAGCCCTGGCGCCCACCTTCTCAATGGCCTCCTGGTTGGACGGGCAGAAGCGGAGGCACTCCTCGATGAACAGGTTGAGATAGCGCTGGCGGATGGCGGTGGGGACCTTGCCCCCAAACTCCTTCGGGATAATGGGTTTCTTTAGACTCTGGAGGAAACACAGCAGCAGGAGGTGAGGCTTTCGGGTCGGAGCCTCTCAGGGTGCACCAGGCCCATAGCAAGCCCCACCATGAACTCCAAACGCCAGTGCTGGCAGTGCATGCTGAACCCGAGGGGGTCACACAGGGATGAGCCACAGGGGAAACTAAGGCCACAGGGTGGAGGGGACTTGTATTCTGTCCTGACTTCTGTAACCCCGACTGCCCAGAACAACAGTCCGTCAGGGCTGAAGTGCCGCTCAGTGGTAGAGCACTTGCCCTGGACCCCACCAGGCCTGGACCATGTCCCTGGCACCACAAACAATTAAAAAGCTAGGTGCAGTGGCCCATCCCTGTCATCCCAGCACTCTGTGAAGCTAGGGCAGGAAAGTAGAAAGTTCAAGCCCAGCCTGGGCCACTTAGTACCTCAACAAGACCCTGTCTCAAAATAAAAAATAAAAGAGAGCCTAGGGGCCAGGGATAGAGCTCAGTGGCACAGCGCCTGCTTGGCAAGTAGGAGGTCAAGAGTTCAATTCCTGGTATCAAAAAAAAGAGGACCCAGTGCAAAAATTCTGGGTTCAATCCCTGGTTATAACCCACCAATAAAACAAGAGCATACTCCAGGGTGTCAGTGAGTGGCCGCGGGCAGAGCCCAGCCATACCTGGAGAGATGGACTGTGGGCGATGCGCTTAGGGGTGATGGTGGTGGTGGTCTTGGACGCCATCCCCGACAATGTGCGGGTCTTCAGCGGCTGACTGCCGGACTCGGGGCCATGGGGCGCCTGGCTGCTGCTGGCCGAGAGAGTCCTCTTGGCACCTGTAGGGGCTGGCATGGGACAGGGGGTATGAGTGCAGGAAGAAAGGATGCCCATCACCGAGCTGCGGAGCACCAGGTAGCTTCGGTCGTTGAGGGACAGCAGGACGTGCATCTCGGGGTGAGCGGGGAGTGGCCGGGGCGTGGGGTGCGGGCTGTGGAAGGACATTAGGCTCTATCTGCTTCCGGGCAGGCCCATCGAGGCGGGGGAACAATGGTCAGCTGTGAAGGCCGGCTCAGGCAACGTCGCCGTCGGGGTGGTCTGGTGTGTGGCGAGGGCGTGCAGGGCCTCTGCCACATGTTCTGGCCCCTGACTCCGAGGCATTGACGTCTGAGGGGGAAGGCCCTGACTCCTGGGCAAAGGACCACAGGGTATGGGACGCCCCCGGCCAGGTCATTGTGACAGCCACCTGCCTGGCCACCACAGCCTCTGTGTTCTGCCTGTCCCTTTAATGAGGTCACAAAGCACAGTCCTCCCGCCCTCCCAGGCTATGGGGCCTGTTTCCAAGGTGGCCCTTGGGGTCTGGTCAGTGATTCTAGGACTCTGGGAGGCTGAGGCAAGAGGATCACAAGTTTAAACCCAGACTGGCAATTTAGCAATTTAGAGAACTTGTCTCTTGCTGGGCATGGGGGCACACTCCTATAATCCCAGCACTCTGGAGGCTGAAGCAGGAGAATTATCGGGAGTTCAAGGCCAGCCTGAACTATATAGTGAGACCCTGTCTCAAAAAACTAAGATAGCCCGGGCATGGTGGTGCATGCCTGTAATTCCAGCACTCTAGAGGCTGAGGCAGAAGGATCATTGAAAGTTCGAGACCAGCCTGGGCTACAAAGTGAGTTCAAAGGCCAGCCTGAACTGCATAGCGAGACCCTGTCTCAAAAAGACCCAAAAAAA